TTGCACCATCATTCACTTAAGCATAATATAATCATATTCACATATCATGTATTACATATCTAACATGCATATCATTACATCACCATCACATATAAAAAACAATCACAAATAAAAAAAACAATCACATCACAACATCATCAAATTCGTTATTAAATAAAACATTTTAGTATAACAAACGTGTAATAATTCGACCTCATAAACACATAGGTACTGGAATCATGCATCAAACATCCCATATAATTCTATCATATATTAGGTCTATGAGTCAACTTCCCAATGCTTCGAATGACACGTCAAACCGAGTCCTGAAACTCAAGTTATAACATTTTGAAATTTACCATCAGTTTTGCTCGCCCGACGACCTTGAGGTGCTCTTCTCGCCTCCTTCTCGCCTGGTGAAGCTTGCGATTAGGTCTATAGCTGCTTCGCTCGCCCAATGATGCTCGGGTGACAATCCTCTCTCCATACATTTTCCAGGGGCTCTTCTTTTCCACCAAGCCCTCCCGCCACAAGCTCGCTCGACTAAGCTTGGGCGACTAGCTCGCCCGACAGTGCTTACGATACATCAAATTCTCAGTTACGATTTTGCTTCTGTTCTAACCACACCAGTTCTGATTCCAGACATCATACTCAGTCACAAACATATTATAAACACCATATATCACATATTAACACCAAAACACATCATCACATGTTATGAATATAAATCATAATATACAAACATCATTACTAATAATTTCATCAATCGAACCACATAAAACAAACCATACATCTACCTTAACCTGATATTAATCATAATAAACCTGATTACACCCTTACCTTGATTTCTAGCGATTGATTCTCTTCCTTTGTGTTCTATTGAGTTCTCCTCTTGGTTCTATGTAAACCTTAGCCTCTCTTCCCGTTCTCTCAAATGCTATGATCGTAAATGAATTTTTTCTTCCTTATTTTACTTGTTTAACCCTTAGACCCTTTCTACGATCTCCCCATCATACCCTCACTAATCCTTATTATTTTTACCATCTTGCCCTTAGCACTTCTACACCTAATATTCTATTTATTTTATTAAAAATCTAAATAACACAACTACATTATTTAAATCTAAATAATTCTAATTATAATTTATCTCTCACTAATGACCTGCTACATATCATCATACATCACATAAATTCTCGATAATTCACAAATAATCAATTAAATAAATAACTCTAGATTTTTGGGGTGTTACAATGACCAATACACTCACGTCAAGACCAAGATCTTGAATTTTGATCCACTACCCTCACTTAGACGTGCTCTCAATCATATCCTAAGAGAGGAGGTGCGTTGTACCACTGATATGGAGAATGGAAATGTAAACGTAGAGCAAGGAGCCACATTTTATTCCAATGGTGGGAATAAGCATAGAAAAGATAAACCAAAATCCAGTTGCGATCATTGTGGGAAGGTTAGTCACACTAAAGCTAAATGTTTTAAAATAGTTAGGTACCATGCACACTGAGACACCTGTATAACACAACATGGGAACAACCATATTTTTTAGCATGGTATCAAGAATCTCGTTTAAGATCTGATGGGCCACATCCTATCAGATTTCCGTTATTGGGCCATCCACCATTTATTTCCACGCCCCAGGTGTCTAGTACTGGACGTGAGAGGGTGTGTTAAGAGTCCCACATCAGCTTGAACATGTTCTTATAAGTGGGTAATCCTCACCCTATAAGCCGATTTTATAAGAATGAGTAAGACCAAACTCTAACACTAAATTTTCTCTTTAATTTCTATTTAGATCTTAAATGATTGATTTATTGTTTTCAATTGTTTGTAGTTTTAGGTCCTTTTTGTTCATTAAAATTTATTTAAGTGTAAATTGGTTTAGATATTGTCTTCTAAATTCGTCTTTATGATAATTATATTTAAGAATTGTAATATCAGAATATTAAATAGTTAATCAAATTATGTTCAAATTTCTTTATTTGAATATAAATAGATTAACTCCTTCATTATTATCTATTAATTCATCAATATTTTGCATTTATTAAAATATTGATTGTACAATGATCCAATCGCGTAACATCTAAAAACGCTTTTCAAGTTTCTGCTTCCGCTCTAAACTTTGTTTAAAAATTATTATTTTTTATTTTGTGAAGGATTATTCAACCCCCTTTAGATCATTTTATACCTATATTCACCAACAATTTTATGTTGGTGTGATTTAAATGTGTTATTATCAAATATATGAATCCTTATACTATAATAGGAAATTTTAGATTTTATAATCCAAACCTATCTTGAGGATTTTTTGTTACATTCCTAATTTTATAATTTGAACTTGTGCTCTGTTTTTATTTGTTGTTGCATAATTCAAGTTCTATAAATTCGAACTGAAGTTTTTATTTTGTTGCATAGTCCAAATTTTATAACTTGAAACATATGTCTTGGTTGTTTTGTATGGTTTAAATTGCACCAATATTTTCTATTGACTATAATTCACACGAACTTGTGTAAACTAAGGCTTTGGTTTATTTGCAATTCACATTAGAAAACAATAAACTATGCTTACTCATACTCAGGCAAAATGAACTCTAACCTAATTACAACTTACTAAAATATAAAGACTCCTCCATTTATTCAATATCAATGTCGATGTTATATTGTCTGGTCTAAAACATCAACTAAACTAAATTAATCATTGTCTTAACCACCACAACACAATAATGATGACTAATGTTGAGTGTTGTCATTCGTTAATGGACGATGATGGATGTACTTGCTTCACAAACTCACAACTTCAAAACAACTATGGTGCATATACCATATTCTCAATATTTAGTTGATATAATTTCTTAGGGCCGATAGAATTAGACGCTACCTTAATAAATTTTATTAATGCTATTTTTTCAAGCTGTATTTAATGAGATCACAATGTACTTACTTCATTTAGACCAATAAATAAGCAACTGGTTATTTCAATTTATAATATTGTTCATATTTAATTTTTTTGTGTGTGTCTAAACTAGAGGTGCCAAAACGTATATGGCCCGTTAGGCATGCATGTTTTTCCCCGAGTGGGCTTTTAGGCTATCACCCTATAATTTGTCACCTTCTAATTTGTCTGCCCCGACCGCCCTGTTTTTAACGCGAATTTTTGCGGACACGTGTGTTTTTTTATAAATTTTTGTGTTTTTAGGCTTAAAATGTGCAATGCCCGCGAGCTTTCTTCGCCCCGTCCTCACTTTTTTGCGGGACGAGACTAAATTTTAGACCCGCATCCTCACCTATGCCCGTCCTGTTCTACTCCATTTTTTTACGAACTTTTGTGGGGCGGATCTAAACGGGGCGGGCATGCCCGTTTTCCACCCTTAACCTAAACTCTAATGAACAAAATTTCACTCTTTAAGAGTCTGTTTGTTTGTGGAGAGAAAGAGAAGAGAGAAATTAAGAAGAGAGAGGATGGAGAGAAATGTTTCATCACTCGTGTTTGGTGAACATAGAAATAGGAAAAAGAGATTAAAATTGGCTGGAAACTACATAAATTTTTTTCTCTCTTCACGTGAGAAGAAAGAGGAATGATTACTTAAATTTAAGTTTTTTCCATCTATACCCTTGCTAATGTGTAATAAAATTGAATTTTTATAATGAATTCAATGTTAAATAATAGATTAATTTGATTAAAGTAAAACATTTTAACATTAACTTAGTTTTTAGGTAAAAATAATTAATTTGAATTATGAATTAAAATAATAAAAAATATATATTATATTTGAAATTAAATTATTATGATGATAAAATTGCATGTGTTAAGATAAAGATATTTCAGTCTTTTCAAAAATTAAACACACTTCTTTCTCTTCTATTTCTTATTTTCCAAACAATAAGTTAAATCTAACTATATTTCTCATATATTTCTCTCTTTTCATACTCTTTCTTAGGGGTGGTAAAACGGGTCGTAGTCCGCCAGGCCGACCCGTGCACCTGCCAAAATATGGCGAATCAGTTGGAATTTTAAGATTGTCGCCCACTAAAGCACACCTCGCTAGTGACAGCCACCCGTCAAAGCCGGCCCCGCAAAAATTCGCCGCCCGTCAAAGTTCGCCGCACATATTCGTTTAACTTGTCCCACGTTAAATCCGTCATTTTTTAGTTAATTCTAATACTTGCAATTTTTAATGATTTTATTTTATACACTTATTTGTGAATATATGCAATATTTTTTGAAGTAAAATTTGTTAAAAAGATGATTTATAAAAAAATTACTCTAAAAAATAAATAAAAAATCTAATTAAAATGTAAAAAAAACTTATTAATTTATTAAAAATAAAAAATAAAAAAAAAAGTAAATAAGCCGACCGTCCGTCAACTCACTTTTAATTAAGCGAGTTAGATTTTTATATCTATTTTCACTTAACGAACTTATTTGTCCCGCTATTTTTTAGCAGATTTAAAGTGGATATTTTGACACCCCTGTCTATTTCTCACTTTACCCTTTCTTCTCTTGCGAAAAACACCCTAAAGCAACTAGTGAAATATCGTAGATTCAACGGTGTCAGATCTAGGCAATAGCATGACGTGCCATGAGGACGCTAACACACAACACCGATATATATTAATAGCAGAACCTCACGCTCGGTGACCTACTTCGCAAATTTCATTTCTCGATAAATTACCAGAAATCGTCATCGGACGCAACCACTCTTTCATTTCCGTCTTCGCCAAACCAAAAGAATAACCCTAAAAACCTTTGCTCTTCTCTGCAACGTAACCGTTTTTCTCTCATCAGGTATTTCGATTTCTCCTCCATTCTTGATTAGGGTTTAAACTCTGAAACCCTAGCAATTTTAGTTTATTCTAAAACGTTTCACATTCTGTTGTTATATCTATTTGTTTGATGAATTCCAAATACTGTTTTCGGATGCATCCACTAGGTTAAACTTGTTAATCCTTTTTTGCTTTTGGATTCAGATTCTTTTCTGTGAAGTTAGAAGGTTCTTTATTCAAGTATGGGAGATAGTGAACCAATGGTTGCACAAACATCTGTGGCCGAGCCTTATCCATTGGACGGTTACAATAACACCGCTTCCAATCCCGTTCCCGAAACGGGTTCTACTGCTGTTGCCGAGCTTGCAGGAGAAGCTGCTGCTCAGGCTAACTCAAGCTATGAGCTTCCTTATTCGGGTGATGGGAGTGCGTATCCTGCTGGGGGTCCTGATTCTGTACAACAAGCTCAATTTAGTGCTGTCAATGAGTCTAAGCAAGATATTGGAGTGCCTGACGCTAATGATGCCTCCGGTGTGGTTGGAATGGAAGCTGCAGAGTCTGCCATGGTTTCTAGTGACCATTCGTCTGTAAATGGTGGGGTTGATACAAGTGGACTTGAAAATGGAAATGCACCGGAGAATGTTGATAGTTCAGCTGATGAGAAACAACTTACAGATGCTTATGGTATGTATATGTCTTTTCTGTCTGCTCCCTACACATACTCCATTGCCTTTGACTAAAGCGAAGCTATCTTGATTCCTGACCTTACTGTTATTGAAGTTTTGTAATAAAAATCAGAACTCAATGTCAGGGTTATGTTTAAAGTTCATAGGTGGTATAGTCAACCAATTAAGAGTCAAGAACTTCATATTTAAGTGGTTTATTAGCTAGGAAATAGTTCATGTAGGCTTTCTATCTATTATTATTTTGATATTTAGTGTCCCACATTCTCATTTTTTATTGCAAACTGCATATCAATGTTGAGAACTAATGAATTTTCACCAATATTCATATCAATGTTGAGAACTAACAGAAGCTTTATTTTTCATACATTGGAGGTTGCGTTTAAGGCTAGAACAACTGGCCTTACATGTTTTTCTATTGAAGGTCGTTTTTAACAACCAAAATTGAACTTTGAGAAAAGATATATAATGCTACTTCCATTCACTTTTGTTTGGTGGTACTTTGAAAATTTTCCAGGCAAGAAGTTGTAGTTTGGCCTGGATCTTGACCATTGATATAATATATAGCTTTAACTGGTTTGTAATCTGGTGATCACATATTCTAAGCCAATTCTCCAGCATCTTTTGGATGTCTTCTCTCATGTTCATTCAATGCCTAAATATACGTCTTATCAGTTATCTCCATACATCTTGTTTTGATACTTAGTTAGTATTAATTATTCACAACAATGTGGCTGTTCAACCAAATTATGATTTTTTCCTGTTCATTTATCTCATGTTTAGCAGCTGTGTTGTCTGCTGAAGAAGATCGATTGTGGAGCATTGTAACAGCTAATTCTTCAGATTTTACTGCTTGGACTTCTCTGATTGAAGAAACAGAGAAGGTTGCAGAGGTATGATAGGTTCTACCTAATATTTAAGACGTGAATTACATGTTGAGGATTTATTAATATTCACTTGTTTAAACTTTGACCGACTTGGATATTTGGACATGTCTCTAATGGCATTGTCATCTTCAAAGTTGTATGATGAATTTTCTATTATTTTTTGCTGGGGTAGATTTGGATGGATGTACTGATACTGGAATTAATCTAATGTCTTGGATTATTATGTGGTGTTTTTTTGTGATTCAAGTTAGCTTCAGCCAAATTCATGTGATGTACCCTTTTGAGAATTCTCAGATTCTTTTGTACTCCTTAAGCCATTACTCGTTGACCATTAAAATGAAGCAATATAATAAGTAGGAATTAAAATAAATGACTGATTCTTAAAAGTTTTTCGTAGTTGTTAGATATATATTACATGCATTCTATTTTGATTCGGCATGTTATGTGTGAAAAAGACATGGACAGTTCATATTGTTACATCTTCACATGTTTCATTGTGTTTTGATTAAAAATGTGTGTAATGTACACACAAGTTATGTGGGTGGGTTGTATGGTGCTTGCTGTTTCCAATCGAAAATCAAACTACCATAATTTCTGGTTATGTAGCATTTAAGTAAGATTAGCAAATTAATGTAGTGTATTTTTTCATTGATTTATTTTAAGACTAGTGGTTCTCATTTAATGATTTCTCCATTGAAGACCAACATTTTGAAGATTCGGAGAGTCTATGATGCTTTCCTAGCAGAATTCCCTTTGTGTTATGGGTATTGGAAGAAGTATGCTGACCATGAGGCGCGCCTTAGCTCTGCTGATAAAGTTGTTGAAATTTATGAACGTGCTGTTCAAGGGGTTACATATTCGGTGGACATGTGGTTGCATTATTGCATATTTGCCATAAGCACCTATGGGGATTCAGATACAGTTCGTAGGTAATGGATGCTTAGTTACCTGTTACCTTTTTATTTTGTATGATCTGATTTTCCATTACTAGGCTCAGCTGTTTCTTGCTTGATCTCTAACCTTATTTCAGAGACCGTGCAACAGTGCTATCTCCCTTTTATGGCGGAAAAGCTTTGATGGGATTGCATGTCAGAATGTTTTCCATTCTGATGTTCAAATCCTTGGTTTTGAGTCCACTATGTGTTGTAGTTGAAAGTTTAGGTCCATTTTCCCCAATAAATTTTTCTGTTATTTCAAAGTTCATAGTTGTGTAGAAGGGTTCTGTTTTCCCCCCCTTTACTGTTGAATTGGTAGCTGTTTTTATCTTTGACATTCTGAGGTGCATCAATTTGCAAATTGCTGCTGGGAAGATCTCGTCTGGTTAAGGGCTAGATGGCCTCTATGACTGCTCCATTTCTCGGACATAGTATGATTTTTTGCAGGAAGGTAAATGCAGCGTTTGGATGCCTTATATGATGTTACGAGTGATTTGTTTGTTACCCTAGAACATTAGTGCTGCTGTCTCCCATACATGGATATGCATCTGTAAATGGATGCTTCAAGTTACATATTAATCAAAACTGCATGCTTGCATATTTCAGGCTTTTTGAACGAGGATTAGCTTATGTTGGAACAGATTATCTTTCGTTTTCTCTTTGGGATAAATACATTGAATATGAGTACATGCAGCAAGACTGGGCGCGCCTTGCGGTGATTTACACCAGAATATTAGAGAATCCAAATCAGCAGTTGGATCGGTATTTCAGCAGGTAATTACTTTAAGATTAACATTTCACTTCAGTAGTTTCCAAAAAGGAAACAGTTACTGTTTTTGGTTTTATTTTTGCACATGTTCTCTGCTCTCTCCCCTCTATTTATCCCCAAATTAAATTACTTCAATGCTGTAAATGGTTTTGCAGCTTCAAGGAGTTGGCTAGTAATCGACCTTTGTCAGAATTACGGACAACTGAGGAAGCTGCTGCAGTGGCAGATGCTGTTTCAGAGGCTATTGAACAAGGTGTTGAAGGAGAGGTTCGTCCCAATGCTGCTGAGAATTCTCCTAAACATGTGAGTGCTGGATTAACTGAAGCAGAAGAGTTGGAGAAGTATATCACCATTAGAGAAGAGATGTATAAGAAAGCAAAAGAGTTTGATTCTAAGATCATCGGATTTGAAACAGCAATCAGGAGGCCCTACTTTCATGTACGTCCTCTTAATGTTGGGGAGCTTGAGAATTGGCATAGCTATCTGGACTTTATAGAAAGAGAAGGTGACTTAAGCAAGGTAACCAAACTTTCTTATAAGCGCTCATTCTGTTAATAGTTTTTCCATTTGTTGATTGACTTACAGTTAGTAATATCTGCTGTATCATATGTTTTATTGGCTAATCTGTTGGATGAAGAAACTTTTTAATCGGGAAATTGAACTGAGACTATAAAGCATGGGTGGGCCTTCAAATTGGTTTCTTGAGGCTAAGTACTTCAAACCCTAATTTGTCAGTGGACATTCTAGGTTTGTCATGTGTTTGCAAAAGTTTATTTGTTAAAGTGTGAATGTTATGAATGCAGGTATCTTCTAATCTTCATAATCATCTGTCTCATGCAAGGAGGGTCCCTCTATTCATATTTGAGGGGCCTCTCTATCCCATACGGAGTATTTCTTAATGCTTTGATTATTCCTTTTATGCTTCTCTTTCTTCACTTTTGCTTTTTTTTTTCTTGGCGGACATATGTTTTACCAAAATTTCTTTTTTGTTTTGTTGTTTGTGAGTTAGATTGTCAAGTTGTATGAGAGATGTGTCATTGCTTGTGCTAATTATCCCGAGTACTGGATACGCTATGTTTTGTGTATGGAAGCTAGTGAAAGTATGGATCTTGCAAATAATGTTCTTGCTCGGGCGAGCCAAGTCTTTGTCAAGGTAATATCTTCTAAATGTCAAACTGTAGGTTTGGCAATCGTTTGCTGCATTTTAGTGTGTTATATTCATCTGTTCAGTTTTAAGCTAAGTGAATGGGCAATATCTATGATGGACTCTAATACTTGCTTTTGGATAATAGTTCATGAAACTTGAACTTGTGTATAAATTCATTTTAAGTCGGTTGCTGGTGATTCTACGGAGCAAATAGCTTTTTCCCTGAACATTAATCTATCCACAATTTTTTCTTCCTTTCCGACAAATAAATAGATGGTGGTTGCAGCTTGATAAAGTGGTATTTTATATTCATCTGTACTAGTATATATGATTTTGCTAAATGAGAGTTCAGTTGTCTATTGTTTTTCCCGTGCCCCTCCCTTAGCTGAAAACATAAATTTTATATACCCTGTGAGGCCAATGACCCATTTTTCTGCAAGTGAAAGCTTATGAATATATCATTTCCTGAAAGCTTATGATCATAGTGATTTAGTTACTCACTTTCTTTTCTTGGAGACTTTGATATTATGTCGTAAATCTGTTTTCCTGAAAGCCTAACCAACCTGGTCATATATATACGTTCAGAGTATTTTTACATCACTGACAAGCTTCTTGGTACTACTAGTGCATACAACTTAGTATTTTTACATCACAGACAAGCTTCTTGGTAACAGCTTGATAGTGGTATTTTATATTCATCTGTATATATGATTTTGCTAAATGAGAGCTCAGTTGTCTATTGTTTTTCCCGTGCCCTCCCTTAGCTGAAAACATAAATTTTATATACCCTGTGAGGCCAATGACCCATTTTCCTGCAAGTGAAAGCTTATGAGTATAATCATTTCCTGAAAAGCTTATGTTCCCTTTGAGATTGGCACTTGATAGTGATTTAGTTACTCACTTTCTTTTCTTGGAGACTTTGATATTATGTCGTAAATCTGTTTTCCTGAAAGCCTAACCAACCTGGTCATATATACGTCCAGAGTATTTTTACATCACTGACAAGCTTCTTGGTACTACTAGAGCATACAACTTAGTCTTATTTATAAAATGTGATGTTCGCATGTACCTTTGTCTACTAGCTTTATCTTTATTACATTTCTTGTGAGAGCATTTTCCCCTTGATTTTCTGCGGCTTCATCAGTTTTAGCTTGTCATAATGCAGAGACAACCTGAGATACATATTTTTTGTGCTCGGTTCAAGGAGCAGGCGGGAGATATAGTGGGTGCTAGAGCCGCGTATCATCTTGTGCACACTGAAATTTCTCCAGGCCTTCTTGAAGCAATAATCAGGCATGCCAATATGGAACATCGATTGGTATGCTGACTTACAAAAGTGTTTATAGATTGTGATTTGATTTTTAATTAAATTTACAGCTCTTCCCATACATGATACTGCAGGGGAAGTTGGAGGATGCCTTCTCTTTGTATGAACAGGCCATTGCCATTGAGAAAGGAAAAGAACATTCACAAACACTGCCAATGTTGTTTGCTCAGTATTCTCGATTTGTTTATTTGGTAGGTCTGGTAGCATATTTGTATTCTTTGCTTGTAATGCATGCTTGCTTCTGCACATTTGGCTTTTGAACATGAAATAGTTAGTTCTCTTAATTAACATTAGCTACTGTTTTTGCTGACCTGTCTGTATCCTGATAAATGATGATGATATTTGCGAGCTTCTCATTTATGTCGACTAATAAAGCATCCAAATTATTCTGTACAAAATCACAACCTCAAATCTAAAATGACCATTCTTACATTTATCTTAATCAATTTTGTAGTTTTTCTTTTGCTTCAGTTGCTTTGTTTGATTGTGAGAAAATTGTGTTGTTTTGTTTTTGAAATATTCTCTCATTCCGTCATTAGGCTTCTGGAAATGCTGAAAAGGCTAAAGAGATTTTAGTTGGGGGGCTTGAGAATGCTTCACTGTCAAAGGCACTACTTGAGGTCTGTCTTCACTTTCCATGTGCCTTTATGCAGTTGAAAATTCATATTTAATGAGTATTGAATATATAAGCAGCTAAGTCCCTATTTTAGTTTATAGTTTTGACTGACAGCTGTAAATATCAGCTTAGCTTAACCTGTAATAGCAGGTTACCCTTGATGCTGTATATAAAGCATCAAGGAGCCTTTTGTAACTAACACAGAAAAAGCATAACAGAATTCAGTTACAGAAATGAGAACACTTCTCTTCTCTACTCTTCTTTCTTACAATGAGATTGTCTAACTTCATTTTGTACACAGGCTTTATTGCATTTTGAAGCTATTCAACCCCAGCCAAAGCGAGTTGACATTGACTTTCTAGAGTCATTGGTTGTAAAATTCATAATGCCCAACCCAGAGAACCCTGGTGTAGCAAGTGCAACAGAGCGCGAAGAACTTTCTATTATTTTTCTGGAGGTGATTTTGCATTGTGTTCAATATTATATATATTTTTTAATTTTCCTTGATTAATGACAGGGACACTTATTCTAAAGCACTCACTTCACATCACATCACATCACATCTCATCAAGCGACTACAATAAACCTTGTTTAACCAACAGTGTACCTGGAGTTAATCAAAGGGTTTGTGACAGGTGTATTACATGTAGGTAGTCATGTGATCACTGTTTGGTAAACTCCATATAACCAAACATGGATACTCAAATTGGATAACAAAACTTTTGTTCCATATCTTACGGACTATGTCTCTGGTGCACTGTGGTGTCTTTTCACACTCTGATTCATACTTGTTCACATGAAAAATGTAGTAAGCGGGGACAATTTAGCAGCGTTGATCTATTTTCATTTCTCATATTGACTTTTGTCTTGGAGGATTTCCATGGTGGTTCATTTATACTTAGTAGTATCATCAAACCAAATTCTAGTGGTAGTTAGTATATGCGAGTTTGTTGTTTTGTATGGTTTTTATTCAACTTTAAGGTACACATCTAATGCTACAGTAAATAGGTGTATGGTATAGTTTTTTTTTTGTTAGTTTCACAACTGTGTTTGTTAATAAGTAAATTCATTTATTTCTAGGAATTCTGCCTGCTCTGTTTACGCCATACCTTAATTTTTATAATAAATGTTCCAAGTATTTTTAATTTCATATGTATTTTCTGTTGTTTTTTCAGTTTATAAATCTGTTTGGAGATGTTCAATCTATCAAAAGGGGTGAGGATAGACATGCCAAACTGTTCTTGCCTCATAGGAGCATGTCCGAGTTGAAAAAACGTCATGCAGAGGATTTCTTAGCTTCAGATAAAACGAAAGTGTCGAGAACTTATTCTGCTCAATCACCTGCCCATTCTGTAACAGGTGCATATCCAAATGCACCTAACCAATGGACTAACTATGGAGTACAGCCTCAAACTTGGCCAGCGACCTCACAAGGACAACAATGGCCTGCTGGCTACACACAACCGGTAAATTACTTTTCTTTAACCCCCAGCTATTTGGTAGTGTGTTGTTTGAATGGGTTTTGTCCATGACTTGGGACACGTTGTTTTGTAAGCTAGTTAGTCTTTCTCATATTGCAACTAGTTGGATCGCCCTTTTTAAATTATATTTGCCTTGAGGCCATATAAGACATCTTCATGAATTTCATCTAACAAAAAACCTTGTCACAACTGCTCATCATTCATGTTATGCTTTGACCGTTTCATGTCTTCATTCTGGAGTTGACATTTGGTGTACTTACATTGTATATTTGGTATTTTATTTGTGTGTCGAAATATGATGTATCTATGTCTTTAATTGATCCATTCTAATATGATACAGGCTTCCTACGGGGCTTATGCTGGATATGGTGGCAACTATGCTAACCCACAATTGCCTGCACCAGTTCCACAAAGCACTGCTTACGGAACCTATCCTCCTGCATATCCTGCACAGGTGAAAAGATGTTTCAGCTATAGTTGTAGTGATTATTTGTCCCCTGATATATTTCTGCTCTACAGTTCTTGTGTCGGTGTTAATTACAATTCTGTTCTGTTGAACAATGGGAAGCAAAAGAAATGGAAAGTGTGTGATAGTAGTATAGGGGCATAGTAAGTGAGAGGATTGATTTATGAGAGGTGAGAGGATGTAACCGTTAGATCAAAAGATTAAATCCCTCAAAGTACCAAGATTAAATCCCTTAAAGTATCAAGATATAATCCGTGAACCACAACTGGATGTGATAAAGATTTCTTCATTCATTCTTGGGCAAAATTATTTATTCTTGGTTGTGATTATTAAGACTACGTTTTAAAACCACCCACCATGTTACATTTGAGTCATGACCTGTGTCCATTCAAATTTGAACAATCTCATACCACCTTCACCTTTGAGGAATCTCAATTCAGCCACGACCTGTGTCCTTCAAATTTGAACAATCTCGTACCACCTTCATCTTTGAGGAATCTCAATTGAACCACGACCTGTGTCATTCAAAATTGAAAAGGCTGGTGCCCCTCATATGAAGCGGTGGCCAAAAACTAGAATCTCAAACGCCAATTTATGAAATCTAAAGAAAATAAGACAGCTTGTGAGAGAAACATAGAAGCAAGAAAAAAAAGAGATCTGAAACAGGCATGCACTGAAGGTCTGCGAGAAAAATATGGGCAACGATCACTTTCAATTTTAATTGAGGGATTTAATCTTGATAATGTACATTCTGCTTAACCCGTGAGTATTTGGAATTGGATCTAGTGTTAATACTTTTGTCTGAATTTCAACAGGCACTGCCTCAACAAAATTATGCACAACCTGCAGCTCCGGCACAGCAACCTGCAGCAGTTCCTCAGGCCTATTACGGGAGTTACTACTGAGGTGACTGAGTGAGATGGCTACTGTTTTTGCTTCATGTAATTTTTTGCCTTGAATATTGTAGGTAATTTGTTTCTAGGTAATTTGAAGTATAGATCAGGGTAAGCTTCTTTTTGACTCGATTGTAGTTAGTTGTTGCCTATGAGATTTTCTTGATATTGGTATTTTCACGTTATGGTGCTACACTTTTTACATATTACTACAATATCAATCTAATATGAACGACTTGACAAATGAAAATTGTATTTTGAGAGAAGCTCCTTAACATGTCTTTCGAAATAAAATATTATTCTTGTGTTAAAATGTCAGTAAAAGTGACTTGGTGGATGATAACTATAAGGGAAGATAAATTTTATTTAATGTGAGTTCTTTCATCCAAGGCAGCTGGTTTAGAGCTATGTAGTTCATGCATGATTGGTAGTCCATTCGAATATTTCACGAATCGTAAGGAAAACAAATGAAAAGTGAGAACTACTGTTAGGGCACATCAAGTAGGTGTGACCGACTACTCTGTTATGGTGTCTTTGGATTGATGAAGAACAAAATTGATTTTGAAAGAGTTAAGTTTGGTAAAATTTATTTTAACAGAATTAAATTTAGTAGAATTGATATATGTTTGAATAGAAGGGATTGTTATTATAATTTTGAATGAAAAAAAATTAAAAAAAGGTAACAAAGGAAATTAAAAGGAGTTGTAACAAATAATAATATATAATCAGAATCGTACCATAGAATTGCTTTTTAAAAGAGGAGAATTGATTTTGGAAAAGTGGATTAAAAATACTTTTGGAACTTGATGAAGTGAATTCGAACATTCAAACATGTACTTAGTGAAGTGGAATTATATAAGTATCCAAACATGCACTTAGTGGAGTCGAATTATATAAGTTACCGCACGAAAAGTTACTGCAACAGTATCCCCTCAAATAGAAGTTTTGAGTAGGCAATAATAAACTCTCACATGCCCTCTAAATTATAATGATTGTATGACTATTCAATTTAAATGGAGTATATATGATGTCTCAATTAAAATGGAATGCATCTCCTCTAAGAAAAATATTCATGAAAATGAACGTTACACATAATTTGATTTGGTGAAATTCATGATTGTGATTAGTTGATATTATAAAACTTTTTTAAATTGTCAATGCATTATCTATTTTCTTATTTTTTATTAAGGTTTAAATACATTTTTAGTTCCTTATTTTTAATTTTCAGAAGTTTTAGACTTTCCATTTTAAAAGTCAATTTTAAGTCTCAAAATTTTATCTCATTTGAGATTTTCTTAATCCCTTTATACGATTGTTTCATTAATTGACTGGCAAATGATTTGTGCAGTATATTTTTAATTTTTAATTTCAAATATTAATTTTAAATATTAAAAATCATTTTTACTTTTTAAATATTGAATATTTCCAGCTTCTTCATCTTCTTCTATATCTTCATACAATTATTAAACCCAGATAAAAAATGAAAACTTTGTCTCCTTCCACTGCCAGAATCCACCCTTGCACGACTCATCTTCCATTTCTGCACCCCATCGCAGCTGCATCACCACCGTAATTTGAAAAATTCATATATAATCCCTAGATCTACTCCTCCACATGTACTTGAACCACAGTCAACCACTTCACCTTCTCTACCCTCGTCGCCGCATTCAAATTTTCGGTCTCCATCGCGCACCACCACCACCAGATCCTCTCACTCTTTCTATTACGTTTATGTTCTCTCTTAAACCACCGTGACCACCGCTGCTTTCCACCCTTGCACGACTCATCTTCCATTTCTGCATCCCATCGCGGCCGCACTACCACCGTAGCTTGAAGTAACTTTTATCTCTTTCAGTTGTGTTTCTGATTTTTCTCTCCCTGTTGCGCTTTTGCATTCACTCACCATAAGATCCACATCTGGATACCATGACTATAAATTCTCAGATTTGCAAGTGTTCTAACAAATTTGTAACTAAATTCAATTTAAAAATTTGGGAACTTGGTGTTTCAATTTGATTTCTAATATTCTGTATGTAGTTTAAAGGATTAAGATTTCAATACCTGGGTTTGATAATTGTAAGAAGATATAGAAGATGAAGTCGGAAATAATCAATATTAAAAAATGTTTTTTAAAAAATGAAAATGATTTATAATATTTAAAATTTTTAAAATTAAAAATGAAAATTATTTGACTTGACTGCACAAGTCCTTAACCACGTTATTAATAAAGTATTCAGATGGAGAGGACCAGAAAAATCACAAATGAAATAAAATTTAAGGACTTGAAAATTGACTTTTAATATGGGAGGCTGAAACTTTAGAAAGTTGAAATTAAGAAAATCAAAAATGCATTTTAAGTCTTTTATTAATTAAGAAATGAAAATAAAATTTTCTCTTCAAAATATTGTTGTTCGTGCACAAATATTTCTCCTCCTCTAAAAAGAAATCTCTTACTAATTTAAAAGGCTTTCAATTTTACCATTTTACCGCACCTTTAACATTATCAACATTGTTGTTCGTGCAAATATTGTTGCTAATTTCATAAAACAGAAATTAACTTGCCACCTCTATATTATACATGGCATCTCTTAAATGGTATAAAAAGATTAAATTGTTCAGACTCAAATTATTCACCATAAATTTCAAATTTACATGATCAATCTGATTTTTTAAAATTTTGGGCGATATCAAAATTTTTGTGAATAAGTAAGAATTTACGGTAGATTTGTGAAATTTCCGATATTTTCATACCGGGAATTTCAAAATATCCAGTGTTTTCATTTACCATTTATATCAAAAATTTTGAATTTTCGATACGTCATAGAATATCGGAAATTTAGAAATTTCCAGTAGTTTAATTTTTTTTTGAGAAATACCGGAAATTTAGAAATTTCTGATTGTTTATATTTTATAATATTTTCTTATTTTGTAGTGAGGACCAGATGCAGAGATGGTTCTATTGCGTGATGAAACACTAATACAGTTGATGTTGAGGTCCAGGCTGATGAAGCGCAGGCTTCAGAGCTACGGGTTGGACGCCGTCCTCCATCGGTTCTCACCAGAAACGAATGATTGAACAGCTGACGCAGTTCCGCGCACCCCGCCGTCAGGGTGTTAGAGTATCCATTACTGAGGAGGTACATGCTCGTACAAAGGAGGTACAAATTCCTACTAAGGAGGTACATGTTCCAACTGAGGAGGTATAAGCTCATGTTCTTATTGTGGAGCCAGTAGTTGACGAGCACATTGTGAAGCCAGTGGTGCAGGAGGCTGAGCAGGAGGTTGTTGCTGAGCGAGTTGATGAGGTGTCCTCCACTGATATAGATACTACGACTCGTGCATCTACAAAGCCATCAGTACATACTGATGAAGGTTTCTCTAGAGGACCTTCAGACAGGTTTGTGTTGACTGGATTTGTGGACCATGTCTCTTATAGGATATGGCATGACGAGGTATATATTTTTGGTTTTGTTTAATTGCATAATCAGAAATTGAGGAAGATGTATTTTTTAGATGTATTTTTTCTATAACACATGTTCTTATTTATATAAATGGTGATGTATTCTAAACCACACAAATGTGTCGGTGCAATCAAAACCATTTAAATATGTAGGCAAAATCTCAGCCGTTTAAAAAACCATATTTTTATAACTACCGAAATTTCAGTTAATTTGAAATTTCTGGTATACCAGAAATTTAGATACACTACTGAAAATTTACGTATATAGGAAATTTGTAGGGGTGTATTGAAAATTTAAATTGTATCAGAAATTTCAATTATTCTACTAGAAATTTCGTTTAAAAATAATATACATCTCATCTAAAGATAGAATAGAATAAAAAAAATTCAAAAAGTGACATATTTAATTTAAAAGGTGTCGTGTTAATTTTTTATAAGAAAACCACGGTGGAATTATTTCCTATTATTTTTAAATTTTGCTACTATGTTCCACTGAATGTTGGAGTATATATGATGTCTAAATTTAAATGGAGTGCACCTCCTTTTTTTTGGTGGGAATTATGCATGAACCTAGGACGTACTTGACTATGTGATTATAGGGTTTTGTTCCTGGAACATTTGATGATAGTGAGTATTTATTAACTATTAGTTAGATACTTTAACTAATATTTTAATATATTAGTATTATATTTTAAAAATTTGTTAGTGTTTAAAATTGTATCACATGGATAACTATGATATGTTTAAAGTTCTATATATTAAAGTATAGAGATATTTGCGGTGTAGTTTGGACGATTTTGACGCTAAAATTTATTCGAATGGTAAGAGAAAAAATATATGATTTGATTTGGTTGACTTTTAGAAAAAACCAAACTGAACCAAATCAAATCAATGTGATTTGGTTCGTTGGTTCGGTTTTTTTATAAATATTTTATTGAGCCATACATACACATATCAATGACAATATAACTTTGTATTTATTCATTCATACACTATCAAATAACAACAAAACTCATTATATTTGAACAACAACTTTTCATTTAATATGTATAAATTAGATTAGACAAAAGTGTAATAATAAACATAAAATAATAGCATAAAACAATATCAAAAATATTATATAATGAAACAAAATAGAAGAGATGAGATATTAGTGAAGATGAAAAAGAAAGAACATAAGAGAAGAGAGATTAGAGAAGAAGATGTGCGATAAAAACGAAATTGAAAGAGAGAACATTTGCATAAAAATGTGAAGGTGAGAAAGAAAGAATATAAGAGAGTAGAGATTAGAGAAGAAGAGGAAAGATGGATGTGGTGAAAAATGTGCGATATTGCTAGGAGAGATTTGAGAAGAGTAAAGCTAAAATCATAAGTGTAAGGGTGATAGAGTTTTTGTAATCATAAGGCTAAAGTTTAATAGATTTATGTTTGAGTTGGATGTGAGTTAAGTAAAATTTATTGGAAATGTAATTTAGTTAATGTCTACAATTCCCAATGCTTATTCTTTAATAAGGCATTTTGGCAAATTCAAAGTGAATGCTGAGAAACAAAGTGGTCAGAAGTTAAAAATTCTGAGAACAAATGGTGGAGGTGAGTATAACTCTACAGTGTTTCAGAAGTTCTGTGAGAAGAATGGAATAGAACATGAGGTTACTGCTCCATATACTCCTCAGCACAACGGTATTGTTGAAAGAAGAAACATAACTTTGGTTGATATGACCATAAGCATGCTGAAAGAGAAAAAGCTACCTCACGTGCTATGCGGAGAAACTGTTTCCACATCAGGATATATTTTGAACAGGTGTCCAACGAAGAAACTGAAGGAAGTTGTTCCTTTAGAGAAATGGACTGGAGATAAGCAGAGTGTCAGTCATCTGAAGGTGTTTGGCTCTGTTTGTTATAAACACGTTCCAGAAGCTAGAAGACAAAAACTGGATGATAGAAGCAAAGCAGTGTTGCTAGTGGGGTACCATAGTACATGAGCGTATAAGCTTTACTGTCCAGAAACTAATAAGGTTGAAGTCAGCAGAGACATTATGGTGAAAGAGTCTGAAGCATGAGATTGGAACAAATCTCAATCAGATTCTGGTGTAGTGCCAACACCAGAGTTATCCTCTGAAGATGTTTTAGAAAGTTCAGAAGATGAATCTGATTCTGAAGATCCTGAAGATTCTGAAGATGAGTCAGAAGAAGATTTTGGAAATGGATCTGATTCTGATCCAGATGCTGATGATGATCCAGAATCTGGTGGTGATCATAGTTCTGGAAGGGAAAACTCTGAAGGTGGTAACTCTGAAAGTAGTAGTTCTGGTGCAGCTTCAGAACAAGCCAGAACAAGCTCAAAGACCACAGAGAATCAGACAAAAACCAAGAAGGTTTGCAGATTTTGACATGCTGCAGGATAATGAAGTTGACTCTGAAGGAGAAGTCGTTCAGTGTGCCATGTTAGTAGATTCTGAATCAGTGGGCATTGAAGAAGCTCTCAAGAAGAAAGAATGGCTTAATGCCATGAAAGAAGAACTTGAGGCAATAGAAAGGAACAAAACTTGGAAATTGACTAAATTTCCAGATAAGAAAAAAGCCATCAGCGTCAGATGGATTTTTAAGTTGAAACTTAAGCCAGATGGTTCCATTGGCAAGCACAAATCTAGACTATTAGCTAGAGGTTTTCTTCAGAAACCTGGGCTAGATTATTTTGAGGTGTTTGCGCCTGTAGCTAGGCATGAAACAATCAGACTGATGATTGCTTTAGCTGCAAACAGAAATTGACCTTTAACGCATCTGGATGTGAAGTCTGCATTTCTGAACGGTCCATTACAGGAAGAAGTTTATGTGTCACAACCTCCTGGATTTGTGAAAAAGAATCGGGAAGGGATGGTATACAGGTTAAATAAAGCTCTGTATGGACTGAAGCAAGCGCCTAGAGCTTGGAATCTGAAAATTGATTCATTTTTCAAGAAGTAGAGGTTTTAGAAGTGTGAGATGGAATATGGAGTTTATGTACAACACTCTGATAACAATATGATTCTGGTGTGTCTCTATGTTGATGACATTTTGCTAACAGGTAGATGCCTAGAAGATATAAAGAAGTTCAAAGAAGTTCTGATGAATGAGTTCGAGATGACAGATCTAGGAAAAATGACATATTTCCTAGGGATAGAGATTCTGTATTCGAAGAAGGGTATCGTTCTGCATCAATTAAAATACGAACAAGAACTTCTGAAGAGATTTAAGCTGCAGAATTACAAAGTTGTTGTGACACCATCAGAAACCAATCAAAAATTGGATTCTGACTCTGATGGTGATTCTGTTGATTCAACAACCTTCAAACAGTTGGTTGGTTCTCTAAGGTATTTATGTAATACTAGACCTGACATTTGTTATGCAGTTGGATTTGTTAGCAGATTCATGAGTAATCCCAAGTGGTCTCATTTCCAAGCTGCTATCAAAATTCTGAGATATATCAAGGGAACTCTGAGATATGGAGTGTTGTTTCCTTCTGAAAGAAAGACATAATCAGAATTAGTAAGTTATTCTGATTCTGGCTGGTGTGGAGACAGAGTGGACAGGAGAAGCACTTCTGGATACTTGTTTAAATTTCTGGGAGGTCTCATTTCCTAGAGTTCTAAGAAACAGCCTGTCGTGGCTCTGTCAACATGTGAAGCTGAGTATATCGCATGTGTTGTAGCTGCTTGTCAAGCAGTTTGACTTCTGAATCTCCTGCATGATCTGAAGGTTAAAGTTGAGGAACCTCTGAAGCTGATGATTGATAATAAGTCTGCAATTGATCTTGCCAAGAATCCAGTGCTACATGGAAGAAGCAAGCACATTGAGACGAAGTATCACTTTCTCAGAAGTCAAGTGCATAAAGGAGTGTTAGAAGTTCTGCACTGTAACACTCAGAAACAGCCTGCAGATCTTCTGACAAAGGCAGTTAAAACAGATCAATTTCTTCATTTGAGAGATGAAATTGGTGTTGTTAGTTTCTGATAGAATATCTAAATTAATGGATGGTATTGGAAATGTAATTTAGTTAATGTCTACAATTCCCAATGCTTATTCTTTAATAGGGCCTTTTGGCATTTTCATTTTTAGTATAGATATGCTACCTAGGCTATCAATATTGTAACTCATTCATTCCTCTATTTGATATACAATAGTAGCCCTCTTTGTTATCATTCACTGCTCATTCTTCTTCTCCCCTTTCATTATCTTGCACCAACAAAATTTAGATTGTAAAATAATGCGGTTTGATTCGGTTTATAAAATATAAACCACAAATCGAACCGAACCATACAATTTTGTTAAAAGATGATCCAAACACATCCGAACTAAATATAATTTTTTACAATTTTGATTTGATTTAGTTCGATTTACAATTTTCTATTGGATGCCATTTAGAAATCAATCAATGAAATAAAAAAATCATTTTTTATCTTTATTTTTTAAAATAATTTTTATTGTCGTTTTAGATTTAAAACTTTTATTAGTTTTGACAGAATTCTTGAATTAGTATCCTAATAACTAATAATTGATGTGCTATTTAATTATAAAATAGTATTTTATTATCTATCATATAAGTGCTCTAGAAATATCAATAATGTCCTGTTGGTTTACAATTAAGACACATAGATGCCTTCACAACAATCCATTTAGTTTGCTTCTATATCTTCTCTTTCTCTTCCTTCTTCATATTTTTTCCAACTGACACTTTGTTTTTCTCTTTCTCTTTAGTCTTAATCTTTTCCAAATCCGAAAATCAATTCCTGCTTCCCTTTCTTTTCATCTTCATCTTCATCAATAATATATTCATCTTCACGTTGATTTAGATAAAGGTAAGTGGAATTAGAGTTTAGAACTATGATAAATATGGAAGGTTGGGTTATGAGCGAGATTTATGAGTTTGGTTGAAGGAAATACACCGCTGGATTTATGGGTTTGCGGTCTTTTTCTACATGACTGGATTTATGTGTTTGCGGTTTTTTTCTTCTTCATTGTTATTAATCCTACTTTGCAGTATTTTTCTACCTCGATTTCGGTTTCTTCCTCGCAAACATAATTCCAGTTCATTGAGATCTGAATCAGGGACTGTTCCAATGTGAACCTGATAGGAGAAAATGGTTTGAAGGTAAATTTATGGTCTTATTTGGACATCGTACCATTTGGATGATAACTGATCCATGTTATATAGTGAAACATTATCTTTTGATTAAAAGAGTAGCTAAAATATAGATTTTTTAAACCTTTTTTCCCTTCTATTTATAGGTATGAAAATATGCTTGTGTATGAGAATAGTAATTTAGTATTCTATTTCACTGTTCCGTTGATATTGTAGAACTCTGATGTTAATCATGGCCGCAACTCCAACACTCTTTGGAATATTCCCTTATGCTGGTTTGAAATTCTACTTCTATGAGGAATAAAGCGCCATGTCCCCGAGGATTACAAGAAAGCCATCATGGCGAAACTCATATGTGGATCCGTTGTCAAGAGGAAAATGTAGGTAGTATACTTGGCAGTCCATAAGTTATAGATGAATGTTGAGTAACATGATAGAGCTAACACTACCTGATTAAGTTGATATATACTCTGCTCGCACCTGTTATCATGTAGGTAAATATCAAGATTTCTTTGAGCCAACAAGAGGTATCATCGGCATCTCTTTTATTCGATTGATATGTTCCCTGTTTGGATAAATGGCTTAATTTTCACGAATCATCTTTCTCTGGTATCATCGAATTTTTCAAACCAACATCTGATCATGCATCGCCTGCCTTAGAATCAACTGTTGAACATTACAAGCTCAGATTGTTTCGAATTCAGAAGTCAAGTTCTTTAGCTATGAGCAAGCATCTAAGTATGCTATGCACATCAACAGTTTGTTTCTTTTCATTTATCTTTGTAATTTTGTTACTTCCATGTCCATTTGATTACTGTTTTATACTAATGCAGAGGTATTCTAAGTATCTATCCGTTTCAAACTGGAAATGGTATTGAATTATATATTTATTTTTCCTTGAGTTATGTAACAACAATTGAATAAGCACACTAAAGATGAAGTTGATGCAGAAAACATTGTTGTTTATCAGCATGCAAATAAACATGTGAATTGAGATGAAAATATCGGTCGAGTATTTTGATTTAAATTGCTCACATATATGTTGTAACAGGTTGACTCTTCCGTAACAGGTTGCAATCATATGTAATCATCAACAAAGTGTTTCAAAATCTCACTGTGCACAAATGATAATACTAAATGAGAAAATTGATGAACTTCAGGTGATTTGAATAATATGAAATTGTGAACCTGGAGTGAATGATATTTCTTAATCAATATGTTTAAATTATAATAGATTTGGCTTTTGTTGGCCATGAACACATAATTGAAGTTGCCTCAATATTTACTTGAAGAATGTTCAGAAGGAGCTGAAAGTAGATTTGGACAGGGCAATAAAAGGGAAGTCCCCTACAAAGAGTTCAGATGGAAAAAGCAACAAAGCTTAACTTCTGAAGTGTAATTTAGCTTTCTCAACATCTTTAGCCATTGCTTAGTTGAATATGATGCAAGATTGTGGTTTATGCTGTACAAGCTAGAGAAAAAGATATCTCTAACCAAAGCAAAAATTCATAAAATGCAACGTGATATACAAACAAAAGAAGATCTTAAAATCGTAGCATTGGGCACATCCACGATAAACTATCTCGACCCCAAAATTACAATTGCCTGGTGCAAGCGGCATGAGGTTCCCATTGGGAAGGTGCTAAATCAACAATGTGTTTGGTAAAGTTAATAGAAAACATATAGGTTGGTTCTTTTGTTTTGACAATTAACAAGCATATTTTCTTAAGGCAGAACCTTGTGAGTTGTAATATGAGTTATAATGTTTTCTTTATGTTAGTTATACTATATATTCAAGACATTTTTGTATTTGACATTTTTTGCTGCAAAAAAAATGATAACTTCTCTTTTGAATTTGCTTGCTAGCTGATAATAGTAAAATAATGAAATACCAACATGTGGTTGGTTGAAGCGGTAAGAGACCAGGCCACTTTAATCAAGTGGTTAGTAGTTTGATCTTTTACTCTTGTAAGAGAAAATATGTTTGAGAGTGAAAAATAGCTCTCCTTTAAAATTTCTGTTAAACTGCAGTGAATAGTTTTGTACTTATATAACATGGCTTGAAGAAGTTTTATAAAGTTAGAAAATAACCTTTTAAAATAGAAGAACATTGAACTGAATCAAAAGACAATTCAGTTCTATTTGGCTTTCAATACTGCAAATGTAAGTTATAAATTTTTTTCAGAATCAATTATTTGTGCACCAAATTGGTTTTTCTGTTTAATTTTAGTCCTTTTAATTATATGATGAATATACAGGTAAGTATAACCAGCAACAAAAGGATCATAACTTCAAGACAAAACATCAGCTCAATTGATGAATGACAACAATTTCAAGACGTGATTCCGAATTTCAATAACACTTCATTAAGATCAAACTCATTACTTGAGCAAATGAATACAACTAAAGACACTTCTGATTACCTTTGGTATACTCTTAAGTGAGTTATGAATTATGATCCGGTTTTAAATTATATCATGCTATATAGTGATGATTTTGGACTAATATCTGAATTGATTGATTTTATGAACAGGTTTGAAAACAATTTATCTTGTAGTGCTCCAATACTTCATGTTCATTTTGCAGCTCATGTTGCTCATGCTTTTGTGAACAACACATTCATTGTTACATAAATGCACACACACTTAACAAAAAACTTATATTAAGTGTTAATCGATCATTACTTTATTCTAAACAATTTTTTTGGGAGGGCTGCATGAAAACCATTATGTGAAGTCATTTACGTTAGAGCTCCTAGTTATATTAAACGAAGGAACATACAACATTTATATTATCAACATTATGGCCGGACTTCCGGTCTGTAAATTCATATTTTGTTGATTACAGTATTCAAGTGATTACAATATTTCTTTGCTGCAATTAACATTGGATTTTCTAATTTAATGTTTACCGCAATTTTTCCTGCATCTGCAGAACATGATCTGAACATCAGGTCCTCTCTCCTACTAAGTGTGTTTCCATTGTTAAAGAAATATTAGATGAAGAAATTATCACTCCACAACATTCATCAAACAAGAAACTATGATGGACACAAGTATCAGTACCTACAAAATTCCTCCAGTTTCACTCATGTGTAAATAACGAGGTTTTTCATAGTTGAAAAGAATGGAAATTGGCCTTTTTATTTCAATCTTTTGTGGAGATTAAGCATCTGCAGCTTGCACGACAGCTTGACCTAGTGGATAAACGTGTTGTTGTACCGATTAATGTATTATGGTAAATACCTTAATGAATCACTCTATTTCATTTCATATGTCAAGTTTTTGCATATTCCTTATGTGGAATTCTCATAATCAATCAACAGTACTATTTTGTGCATAAATGAGTGTAAATTTTTGGGCACTTTAGTGTTCAATCATCTTTTACCTTTAAGTTACGAAAAACGGACACGCTAATCTAACTTTCCAGGTTTAAGAAGATTGAACATTGACAGCTGTTGTACCCCAAAATTTGCCATCTCTTTTCTCAAGACACTTCTCACAAAGATCTTCAATAGCTCAAGATTGCACAAGTGTTGACTAGGTCAAACCACCTCCTAAACATTGATGCCTCAAATTAGGATTTTATTTTTCACAGGGACAATTGGATTTCTATTGCCTCAAATGACTTTCATGGTTCATTATAGACCTCCAAGAACACTCATGCCAAGTTTCAAGTTTTGGATCACAATTTTGCTCAGCCAATTGATCAGATGATTGAAAATCAACTGTATTGAATAAAAAGTCAACTATGGTCAACTTACAGTCAAACTTCAAGATTTTTGACCAATATCAATATTTTGAAGTCATATTCATCAATTAATCAAGTTTGGATCACAATTCCTCAAGAAACGTGTTCAAATCATCAAAGGGGTAAAATGGTCAAAATTAGGGTTTTGACTGAGAATGACTGATTTTAGACTTTTGACCTAATACACGACTTACTGGTTTGAAACATGGTCTCAAGGATTCAAGCAGATTATCTTGACCTAATGTCATGATTCAAATCATTCTTCAAGATCAAACAATTGATAGATAAAACTTGGTCAACTGATGAAAAAGTCAACTGATACACCTGTTAGCTGGCTATTTCGAATAAAGAAGAAACCACTATCAAAATAATATTTCGAATAAAGTACCTAAGGAGATTGATATCAATATTGGATATTGGTGGGAAATATGGAGTCATTATACTGAAGGATTATTCAATTTCTAGTGGATTTGAATTTGGATTTTTTAGTGTTCGAATTATAAAGAGCTCCTTTATGCAAGGGTGCCAGAATTGGAAACGGTCCAGGTAATTGGGTTATTTCGAAAGCGACGAAGAAACAAGATGCTTCGATTGGTACAAATTTCGAATTTCAAATAGGAGCGCCATTCTAGAAGACGCGTGGAAGTCAGTAAACATAGGAAGCCTGCATGCTTCGAACGTGGCGTGATTTTAGAATAGGACCGTTAGGGTCAAGACACTATAAATAGGTGTTCTTATGTTAGATTTAGCATGTTCACTTTTATGTACTAAAAGATCTCAAAACACTCAAACTACCGTGAATTAAGGGAAATAAGTCAGAAGATACAATGTACGTATTGAACATCATCACTTTTTTACAATTTCAATACAAGTCTTGTTATATTTAGTTCGCTATTACAATATTTCTGCCCTTAAATCCTTCGATTTCCTTGCATTTCCTTGTTTTACTTACTTTCAAACACAGTTACTTCGTTAGAAACTTTACTTTCATTTTATCCTTTTATTCAAACACTTATCTTTACATCCAAGCATTAAATCCCAAGTCTAATTCAAAGCCTTTCTTTCCTACATTCAGTTAGTTTATTCCTATAGACAATTCTAGAAATCTTTCCTAAGAATCTCATATTCGAACTTAACACACATATAAGTTTATCAAGATAATGGGTATGAACATAGAAATGAGTTATGACACATGTGTTCTAGGATCAATCTAGTCGATCCTGCAAGTAACCAATAATAATTAGTAAAATTGGAAGACTAGCGGTTGTTTACTAGAAATCACTGTAAACAAATTGGTACACCTGGTGGGACAGTATCATAACAAAGAGTCTTATCAAACATATTAGAGGAGTTTTAGGATTTTTCTGAGTGTGGAGCGCGTTTCGGTACATAAACCTTTGAAGCGGAAAAATTAAGAATAACAATCCACATATACCCAGAAAACAACGTACAAAATAATGGTTAATACAACTAACCAAGATGGGGTACAAAATCCCCCACAGGGGGCTGCAAAAATCGTTTCAAGTTCGATTGATGCCTCCAATGCCATTCCTATTGGCAGTTCGAATACAATCCCAATAAGTACATTAGACATGCCATCAAACGTGTCTTCAGTGCAAACTGCACCACACATAGGGAATCAACAGTATTCGACCCCCCTAGGCCTCCAGGTTTCGAACCTTTGAGACCCAGAAATCCTCAGTATGGGATGCCAACTTCGTTTATGGCAGGGTTACATAATGCAACAACTTCGTCCCCACTCCAAGGATCTGGTTTAGGAATGAACCATTTGGGTACAAATTTCCAGAATATAGGAAACTTCGCCCAATTGCCTACTCTTACAACTAATAGTCAGGCAGCGCTTAGGCAACAGATGGATGATAGCAATCATGATATGGTAGGAATCCTAGCCCGCGAAATGAATGCTATTTTCAATCCCCTAATCCAGAATATAAATAGAACAAACCAAGAAAATGTAGCCCAGATGGCCAGAATAGCATATTTTTTTGGTGCCCCTAATGCGCCTGCAAGGCGTAGGCAGAACCCGGTGGTGATTCGAAACGAAGAAACCATAATTGAACAAATTCGACCCCCTGTACAAGTGGTCGAAGAAAGAAATATAGGGGTAAGATTAAAAGACCAGGGAATTCAGGAAGTTCAGAATGAACAGCCTAGACCTATAATGATGGTGAATAGGGACCAAAATGCAGACGAAGTTGTTCATAGGATTAGAAATGATAATTTAGTGGCAGAAAATAACGTCACCACCATGATTGAAAGAATAATGGCCCAGAATGGTTTAAATTCCGGATTTAGGAGGCCAAACTACACATCTCCTATTATAGATTATGTTTTGCAAACAGAATTACCCAGGGGCGTTAAAGTTCCTAAATTCACGAAATTTGCTGGAGATACAAGTGAATCAACAGTGGAACATATAGCAAGATATTTAACAGAAGCAGGAGATATAGCAAATAATGAAAATCTTAGGATAAAATACTTCCCAAGTTCTTTAACAAAGAACGCTTTCACTTGGTTCACCACCTTGCCCCCTGGATCTGTAGACACATGGCCTTATTTAGAAAGACTTTTCCATGAACAATTTTACATGGGTCAGTCTAAAATCAGTCTCAAGGAACTAGCAAGCATTAAGAGAAAATTCACGGAACCAATAGATGAATATTTGAATAGATTCCGTTTATTAAAATCCAGATGCTTCACAGTGGTCCCTGAACATGAATTGGTCGAAATGGCTGCTGGGGGCCTAGATTATTCCATTCGAAAGAAATTGGATACACAATATCTTAGAGATATGGCCCAACTAGCAGACAGAGTGCGTCAGGTTGAAAGGTTAAAAGATGAAAAAGCCAGGGCTAGTAAAAATCATAAGAAAGTGAGAATAGCCTACATAGAGGC